TGTGTGTGTGCGTGTGTGTGTGTTTGTGTGTGCGTGCGCATGTGCACATGCACATGTATGTGTGGTGACAGAGGGGACCAGAAGGGAAACATCCTAGCAGTTGAAGGATAAGTTAGGAGATGGTCGAGATGGTCCAGCAATGGAGGGGGGGTGTGGCTGAGGATTTCAAGAGAACACTCAGGCAGGAGTGACGAGGCTTGGGAGAAGCCAGATGCCAGAGACAGTGTAGACTCATGGTGGAGCACATGGGCTCTCTAGTCCTTCTGCTGTGGTTAACTCCCAGCCCCATCCCTCACTGCTGTGTGACCATGGGCAAATTGTCTCCCCTTTCTGAGCCTTGGCATTTTCTTTTATAAAACAGGGATAGTAAGAGCACCTGCCTCTGAGAGATGCTGCAAAGCTATCTATGTAAAGCACTTAGCGTGGTGTTTCATCCATTCAGCAAATATTTATTGAGCATCTACTATGTCCCCAGCACTGTTCTGTGGGTAGCGGATATAGCAGTGAAGAAACTAAAACAAAATGCTTGCCCTTGCAGGGATTACACTCTGGAGGGTTGAGGAGACGCATTAAACAAGATAAATAAGCAAAACATGCATTACGTCAGATGGTGACAAGCACTAAGGAAAATGCAAGGAAAGGAAGCTAGGAAGTGTTGGGAGGTTGTGATTTTAGGAGTGAGTAGCTTTGGTGGTGGAGCCATCGTGGATGGCATGTGAAGTTCAAGGCATGACAGTGGGAATGGAGGGAGGCCAAGGTCGCTAACATGTGAGTGTCAAGGGGTAAATGCCTGGGGAGCTGGTGCACTGTTCCCACGGATGCCAAAGTCACCCGGGATGATGGCAGGGCGTGGGGACCAGGGGAAGCCCTGAGCCAGGCACCAGGTGTTTACTAAAAGGAGGGTGATGGGGACCTTAGAGATGGCAGGCCATAAAGGGTGAGGTAGCCTGAAGGCATCAGCCCCCCAAGGAGAAGGGTTTAGAGGACACAGAGAGTGGGGGTCTTGGAGCAGCAACTGGGACCAAGGAGGGCTTCTGTGCCACCTCCTGACTCCGAGGGGTGACAAGGCGTAAGCAGCCTCCCTGGAGAGGATGCAGGGGTAGCAGGCCCCCAGGCAAGGACACAGGGAATCTGGCTGTGGAGGGTGGTTGCAGAGGGCACGGCAGGAGGTTTGGAGAGGTGGGCGATGGCCAGGAGTGGGCGGGCTCAGGGGCACAGAGTTGCAGAGCGCCCCCTCAAGGTTGATGCTCCTTTGCGAGGAGGTAGTTTTGGAGGGCCTGAGGGATTTAGCCTCAGCGGGATCTTTGAGGAGCTGCCCCTGGCTGGGGACAGAGGACTTCTGTCCCTCAGCTGGGCCAATGCAAAATACGGAGACAGCCAGCTTGGCGTTGGGATTACGTATTCATTCATTCATTCGACAAATATTTATTCGCCCCCTACTATTAGGGCAAGCACGTTTCAAGCCATCTTGGATAGATCAGTGAGAAAAAGAGGCCCCAGTGCCCGCCCTCGTGGAGGGAGGCGCATAACATCACGCACGATGAGTATTTTATATAATGTGCTGGGGAGACACGTGATGGAGAAGCCACAGCGGAGCAGGGTGAGGAATTGGAAGGGAAGGGGGGTGCAGGTTTAAAGAAGGTCTTAAGGGTGGGCCTCGCTGAGATGGCGCCGTCCAAAGATGTGAAGGGGAGGGAGCGCCGTGAGGATGTCTAAAGGAAGAGCATTCCAGGAAGGGGGAACAGCCAGTGCCAAGAGCTGAGGCAGGAGGTGGCTGGAGGGACTCGCTAAGGGGGTGTCAGAAGGGAAGCCAACGGGGCCCAGGACCATGGGGTCTGGCGGGACATGGGAGCCATCAGGGAACTTGAGCCATGGAGCCACATGACTGGATCCTTGTCTTCCAAGGATCCCTTTGGCGGCTCCACTGGGAATAGATCGTAGGGGGACAATGGGGCTGCAGCAGGGAAGTGACAAGAAGCAGGGCTCAGATTCTGGGCTTGCAGCTTTGCTTGCTAGCTGTCTCCGGCATCAGCATCTAGACTCACCCCTGCCTTTCCTCCACTGCATCCTCAGCACCCCTGGGAGCCTGCCAACACTCACTCACTCATTCCACTTTAGAAATGTTTATTGAGCACCTATTATGTGCCAGGCCTAAATATACATAATGTCTTGCCAGGAAAGACAGCAACCACTGGGGATTTATAATTTCTAGGCCACCAAGAAACAGTCTTGGTATTTAATAGTCACTCTTGTGACCAGGCACCTCCTCTAAACTGTACAGAACTCCCAGAGTCCAGTTTCCGCCCAATATTTCATCAGAGAAACACAGCCCAGTGCCCCAAATCATCCCGACCTTTCTACGTGCCTCTTCGAGAACAGGAAAGGGACCCATTTATATAATAACTCAGGGCGCCCCTTCCTAGAGCTCCCTTCCCGGCCTCCCTGGCCCTCCCGCTGTCCTAAGGCCCTGGCTCTTCAAGCCTCCCGTCCCTAGCCCCAACCCCAGCCAATCCCTTCCTGTTTTCTCTCACCTGCCAGCTCTTTTCCACATTCCACATCCCCAAAGGCAAGGACCTGGGTGAAGACAGGTTGTGGCGCAAATCAGGGAAGGTAAACGTAATGAACGTGGGCCCTGACACACTCGGTCAGCTCCACCCACTCCGAAGCCCCGGACTCACATCCCAAACCAAACACATCTCTCTCGTCCTCATCTACAGAAGAACAAGACTTTATAAGGTTTTGCGAGGATGGAATGAGATAAGATATGTGCCCGGCACATGGCCGCTGTTTAATAAATCCCAGCTGCCGTTGCTGTCGTCTCCCCCACTCCAAATTTCCTGGGCTGCTTGGCTGCAAACTCCCTGCGATTAGGGCTGTGTCTTATCTCGGTATCCCCAGCGGTTAGTTCAGGGCCTGGAATACAGTAGGTGCTTATCAACGCTGGATGAATTGATGAAAAATATGCATTAACTAGGCCCGGCAGGATTTAAAGTTTACTCTTTCTGAGAGGTTCTGGCATTCTTAAAGGGCCAGCAGGAGGGAGTCTGCCCTCCCGGGCCAGGGGCAGTGTGGGAAGCCTGGACTGGGTACACGATGCCCTTGGCAGAAGGCAAGGTGGGCTGAAGCCTAAGTCCAAGCTCGCCGCACAGCTGGGGACTGGTTCCTGAAGTTCCCTCCCCGGTCGGCGTTCTGGACAGGAGTGGGCTGGGAGGGTGGGGAGAGGGACGTGTGGCTCTGTCAGAAAATGAGCTCCGCCGTCTTTTTCCTCCCAGGCTTTGCTCTGGCCACCAGGACAGAGGACTCCCGAGAGAAGCCACTGGGGACAGGACGGCTCCCTCTGGCTCTACCCACCCCTCCCCCATCAACGTGACAGGAGATGAGCCAGGCCAGAGCTGCTGGGCAAACATAATTAAAAAGCCACTGCTGGCACGTGGGGATCTTAGCTGGGCACAGGGAGAGGACCTGGAGGGGAAGCGTCCCTTTTTTGAGAAAGGGCAGAGAAATCTGCACTCGCTGAACAGCCTCACAAATAAATGGCCGCAGGCTGCCAGCACAGGCAGCTTGGCCTGGCTCAGACACCGCAGAGAGGAAACCCCAGGGAGAATCTGACCGCAGGCTTGTATTCCAGACCCTTTGTGTGACTTCGCTTCCCATCCCTACCCTGCCCCACAAAGGCCTGGGAGCACTGGGAGGGTCTCGGGAGGCTACTGGACCATCAGGCTGCGGTCCTGAGGATCACTGCCAAGCCTTCCTGTTGGGGGCGTGGAAGCCACGTGTCCTTCATTCATTCGATCGGGCCGTACCCACGTACGTGGTGCGTACCCCCTACAGTGGGTGACACACAGTAACAAATCATCTCACAAACAAAACATGCACAGCAAACGGCAGAACCGCTCTGCGGAGAGACGCTGGCTCTGGGAGAGGATGACGGAGGCTGGGCAGCGGGGTCTGGCCTCCCCGTGGAGGGGCCCGCACTGACACGGGAAAATGAGAGGAGGAGACTAGTTGAGAAACAGGTGTGGAGCGAGCCTTCCAGAGACGGCCCCGAGCACGGTGGGGGAAAGAGCGTCGCACGTGGGAGGAGCGGAGGCTGCTGACACCCACAGGCGGGTGGAAGCCACTGGTGGGGAAGAGAGGCTGGCGGGGGTGGTGGAGCCCCATCCAGCTTGTGTGTTGGTGCATTCGTTCTGGCCACTGGGTAGAGAATGGATTCCAGGGGGAAGATGGACTCAAGAGGCCTCCGGTTAGGAGCTGTGGTCCAGGTAGAAGCGGTGGTGGCTTGGGACAGGGTGCTGGTGGCCGAGAAGGAAGGCCTGGGTGGATGCCAGGCTTTGCCAGAGATAAAGCACGAGCCTTGGCAATGTTGGGGGTGGGGGGGGTAAGAGGAAGGTGCAGGAGCGACTCCCAAGTTTCGACCTCTCTACCCAGGGGGACGGTGGCCCCTCGCTTTGGTATCTCTTGGGGGTGTCCCTTGCTCCCCTCACAACCCAAGTGCCCACTGTAGTGGGTAGATTCACTGATGTCAGACGAGATAGGACATGCAGACCTGTCCCAGTGCCCTCTCTGTGCAGAGGAAACATCGGCAGCTGCAGGGTCAGGGGACACACAAAGGGATGTGGTCAGAGCCTGAGTGTCCCCAGCTCCCGTCCTAGCACGGTCTGTTGGGGAGAACTGCAGGCTAAGCATGAGGTACTTGGGCTCGAGTCTGGACTGTGCTCCACCCACTGGGTGAATTCCAGCAGGTCGCGTGTCTTCCAGCCTCAGTTTCTCGACCTGTGAAATGGAAAGAAAGAGAATGCCCACTTTTCCCCTTCTCAGGGATGACTGGTACTTATCATGGGGTCACTAACATGGAGGTCCTTGGGGAAAATGAAGAGAATGGCACTCTGATGCCCTTGGACGGTCCCAAATGGAAACTGGGTTGAGGGGTGCTGGGACCCTCTCCCCACCTCCTGCGCTTCCTGTCTCTTGCAGGCCCTGAAGGCTGAGTAGCCAGCAGGATGCCCGGCCTGCTGAATCGGAGCACAGGGGCAGCTCTGCCCCTCACCGCGTCCGACGTCACCTCCTTCGTCAGTGGTTACGCCCTGGGCCTAACCGCCTCCCTCACCTATGGCAACCTGGAAGCCCAGCCCTTCCAGGGTAAGGACCTCTGTTGGGGCTGCCCCAGGGCCACCCCCTCCTCCACGCTGAATCCCTGTCCTAACATTTACTAGCTGATTGACGTTGGGCAAGTCATGTGACCTCTCTGAGTCTCAGTTTCCCCATCTGTAAGATAGGATACCGTGTCTGCCCTGCAGGCCTCAAAGCTAATAGCAAGGAGCGTTAGGATCTGAGCGGAGGAGGTCTGGGATCAGCCCCGGCCAACTGTCCCCACGCTCTTTCCGTTCCATGAGGCACACTGTCCAGTCTGCACCTTCTCCAGGGAGCCCCACGGTAGGAGACAGATCAAGATTCAGTCAAAGCCAGCAGCTCCCAGGCCTAGGCATGGCTCTGGCTCCTGTGACCTTGGGGACCCATTGTCCCCCTCCAAATCAGGGTGCTCCTCTGTGCTGTCGGACACCAGGGTTTGTGGGGCAGAGCAGATGATGTAATGCAGGAAGCAGGACGCTCTGGACTGAGGAACAACCTGGGACCATGACTCACAGTGTGGGGCAGCCAGGGTGCAGATGCACACTTGCCTGCAAGAGTCGTGTGTAAATCAAACTCCTCTCCTCCCAGTCCAGGACGGGAGCTGCAGGCAGGCTCGCCAGGAGGGTGCTGGCCAGGACTTCCCACTCATCTGCAGTGATGGGGCCTCCTGACTGCTAAACTTCCTGTCTTTGGGCACCAACCTCCAGCTCCATCTGAGGTTCTGAAACCTGCCCTGGGGGCGACACCACCCAAAGGGACCTGCAGGGCAAGTCTCTTGCCCTTAGAAATCTCCTAGGCAGTGTAGATAGCCTTGTTCCTCTGTTTAAGGAAATCTAGGAAGAGTGGCTTAAAATTGTCTCCTGCAGACCCAGGAGACTAAATAACTGAACAACTTCGAGCAGCCCTCGGGCTTCGTGTGCAGGAGCAGGTACCCCCATTTTATAGATCAAGAAACTGAGGCTCAGAGGGCAGGAAGTCAGAGTTTGTGGAGGGCTCTCCATGGGCCCAGCATTGTGCTGCTCCAGTGTTAGAGGGGAGGTTAGACAAGACCCTGGTGCTCCCAGCTTGGTCCCCAAACCATTAGCATCACCTGGAAGCTGCTTAGGAATGCAAGATCTCAGCCCCGCCCCCTCAGAACTACTGAATCCAAATCCGCATTTTAATAAGACTCCAGGTGATTCATAAGATACTAAATTTGAAAAGCACTGAGATATAAAACCGCATGGTGCATGCTATGGGGCACATAGCTTAATAAATGGTGGCTGTTTTCCAATCCTCGCAACGAGCCTGTGAGTTTGGCTTCATTATCCCCATCTTACACACCAGGCTACGAGGCTGCAAGGTCACCTGGCTGGGAAACATGGCAGGGCCTGGAGTAGAACCATAGTCTTCCTCCAAAGCCCCAGCTCTTGGTGCCACAGAGGCCAAAGTCACCATGCAGGTGTGTTTTGTTAGATCTATACAACAATTCACATAAAAATATAGGTTCTCTTCTGGAAAATCAAAAGTTCTGGCCACACCAGGCTCACATACCTACAAAGTAAGAGCTGGGCCCCAGAGCCAGGAGATCCCAGCCCCACCCTCTGCCGAGGCCTCTCGGCACCCGTTAAGTGGCAGTGAGGACCAGCCAGCCAGCAGGCCAGAGGCTCGGGTTCCTCTCCAGGAGCAGGGGCTGCAGGGGGTGTTGGGGCACCCCACCATGCTGGGCCCTGCTCTGGCAGGCCTCTTCGTGTACCCACTGGATGAGTACACCACGGTGATCGGCTTTGAGGCGGTCATTGCCGACCGCATCGTGACGGTGCAGATCAAGGACAAAGCCAAGCTGGAGAGCAGCCACTTCGATGCCTTCCAAGTCCGATCCCCAACTGTCACAGGTAAGGAGACCAGAAGGGCCATGGTGGGGCCCGGGCCTAGCCAGAGGCTGCTCGGGTTGGAACCTCAGTAGACTGCAAGGTAGCCATGGGGTGGGGGGTGGAGAGAGCACCAAACTAGTTAGGAATCCTAGCAAGAATCCTGCGCAACCTCGGGCCAGTAATGAACTTCTCTGAACCTCAGCTTCATTGTCTATAAAATAGAGGCGATTGTTCCTCTTCTCACCTTGAAAGTGTGGTGAGGATCGAAGGAGGGGAGGCAACAAAAGGGTTTTTAAGATATCTCTAAAGAACAGAATAGCCACTCATTTAAGTTCAGGGGCTGTGGAATGAGTCGAGTCAGGGTTTGCCTTCCCTATCCTGCTGCTCAAAGTGGTGTCAGCTTAGATAAGAAATTAACCTCATTTGTAAAATGGAATAAATAACTACACTCACCAGATGCTCCATCAAGGCGATGTATGCAGAGCACTTACGTCACAGGAAGAACTCAAAGCCTGGCTACCAATGCCTGCTGTTGAGGAAACTGAGGCTCAGAGAGGGAGAGTGACTGGCTCAAGGTCACACAGCATGTTAGTGGCAGAGCCAGGCCTTGGACCCAGCCATGTATCATGCAATGTAAGAGATTCTTACCATTGGCTGTATGATCCAGGTGAAGCGTGTTCACTTAATTGTTAAAATGTTCAAGAATCTTTTAATGAGCACTCACCATGTGTAAGGTGCAAAATTGCCCTGAAGTTATGATTTCTTATGGCCTGGAAGAACAGTTAGGCTATTATACGAGTAACGTTGATGGGAGATAGAACGTGGCTGTCCCGAGAGGGGTCTTGGTAATGTTAGAGGAGGGAAATCAGGGTCCAGACTGGGGACTGGGTGGTGTTCATGGAGGGTTGGATGAGTGGGTAAGACTAGCTAAGTAGGGATGAGGGAATGGCCTTCAGATAATATGAAAGAGTGTGAGCAAAAGCATGGATCCCAGAAGTGGGGGTGCTTTAACTTTGTTCTTGGATTGGGGAGTAGGGTTTGTGGGGTGGAGATGTGGCCCTCTGTTGTGGGTTTCATAGGTCCGAGTCTTCCACTCCCAGCAGGGTACAGGGGAAAGTACACAGGCCTAGAGTCAGACCCACGTGGGCTCAGATCCTGGTTCAACAAGTTGGTTATTTGCTGAGTAACTTGGGCAAGTCACACCCCATGCTGAGCCTTGGTTTTCCCATCAGCAAAATGGGGCTGCTCAAACCTGCCACCCAGCAAGCTTAGAGGGGGTCAGAGATGACATATGCACAGCCCCTGACGCCAGCCTGGCACTTAGGGAACATTCTGCAAGAGGGGGTTTCCATCGCCCCTCATTCCTGCACACCGGGAAAGGTGGCCCTGGATGAGGATTTGGAGCGGATCCTGTTCGTGGTCAACCTGGGCACAATCGCCCCCATGGAGAACGTCGCTGTCTTCATCAGCACCTCCTCGGAGCTCCCCACGCTGCCCAGCGGGGCCGTGAGGGTCCTGCTGCCTGCTGTCTGTGCCCCGACTGTACCCCAGTTCTGCAGCAAGAGCTCTGGCACCTCTAACCAACAGGCCCAGGGGTAAGGAGGCCCTGCCCAGACCCGGGTCAGAGTCTCAGGTGGGCAGCAGAGAGTGGCTTGGGTGGAGTTAGCAGGGTGTGGGGTGGGGGGGACAGGAAGTAGAAATGCGGCTTTGCCTTCCGCCCTTGCTCACTTGTAGAGGTCGTAAGAATCTCCCTGAAAATGCCGCCATATTGGTACTGGCCAGAGTTATGAAATTTGGACAGCCTGGGATCAGAATTTCCAGGGTTTATTTTTTAATTCACTCAGGAGGTATTTTCTGAGTAACCACTATGTGCTGGACACTGGGCTGGGTGTTAGGGACAGAGAAAGAATGAAACCAGCATGGTCCCTGTCCTTTGGGAACTTGGCAGAAGAGATCATTAGCCAACTAATAACACAACTAATGTGTGACTAATTGTTTATGTACTGGAATGTATAATTAATTGTGTGAAAAGTGCAATGAAGGAGAAGTTCACTGGGCTAAGAGTATAAAAGAGGGACCCAACCTGGGGGGGCCAGGCTTCTCTGGGGAGCGATGTTTCCACGGAGGACTGAAACAACGAGGAGGATGTAGGCACAGAGAGGACCATTCCCGTAGGTGAGACCAGCAGGAGCAAAGGCCCTGGGGTAGCAACTACAGGGCCCCAGAGAGAAGCCGCAACACAGGTAGCACATGATGAGGCCGCAGAGGCACAGGACACCCCGTGGCCCCAGCAAAGACTTTACATTTCTCTCAAAGCAACAAAGAGCCATTAGAAGAGTTTTCAGCGGGGTAGGGAGGGGACCATGACAGCCCCAATACCAGGACAGTTTCTCTGTACTACCCAGTGGCATAGAAGGGAAAAAGAGGTGGGTCACAGTCTGAGGCACCTACAGCTGAGATAATTTTCAATGAAAATAAGTGCTATTATATAGGGGACAGAGGGGAGCAGAGGACAGGGTGGGAGGAGGGCTATTTTAGCTAGAATGGGCAAAAATTAGGCAGTATATGTGGCCTGATCTGGATGAAGGAAGCAAACCAAGGAAAAATGCTGGAAGGAGACTATTTCGGGAGAAGAGAGTCACAAGTGCAAAGGCCCTGAGGCAGCAGCACAAAGGTTACTATGGCCATAGCAATGTGAGAGAAGAAAGGAGAGAAGTCAGAAAGGCAGTGAGGAGTCAGGTCATGTAGGGTCTTAAAGGCCAGGAAGAGGACACCTGGCACAACTGAGAAGCTGGCAGCACAGGCCAGTCTCAGACCAGGGAACACCTGCCTGTAGATTGTCTTTATAAGCATTGCTATTGGTTATGAGCCTTGTGCATTTGAGAGGCAGGTCCTAGCTGGGACATTCGGCTCGGAAGGCCCTGATGTTTCTGAGCAGGTCCTGATATGCTAATTCTCCCCATTCTAGCAGGCAGAGTTAATAGCAACACTCTTGGGAAAAGCCTGCTTCAAATCCCTGTGAACCTCAAAGTCACTCAGAGTGATGCAAGAAAAACAAGATAAACAGACGATACCAAGTGTTAGTGAGGACATGGAGAGATGGGAGCTCTTGTTCACAGCTGATGGCCGTGGGAAGCAGGACAGCCACCTGGAAAGCAATCTGGCGATCCTCGGCGTGTCCCTTGTCCCCGGGATCCCAGAGAAATTCTTTATCAAGTCCAAAGGGGACATAGACATGGATACTCATGGTGGCGTTATTTGTGGACACGGGGAGGTGGAGGCCAGAATGAATAAGTACAGTGTGATGGCTGCCCACAAGTGACACCAGGTTAGCAGCAAGGACTTTGGATTGCAGCCACCTGGACAGAGCCTAGAGGGTGCCCGTGGGGTGGGGGGAAGGAGCAGGGTTGGGGATGGGGTGGACAATCATAAAGAAAGAGGGCCTGACAGTTTGCTAAGCAGTTGCTCATGGAGTTCCCGAGGCAACTGTGTAAGTGCTGCCCCCATTTAACAGATGAGAAAACCAACACTTAGAGGAGAAATGGCCTGTCCAAGGGCGTGCAGCTCACGGAGACAGAGCAGGGATTGCAGAGGGGGTGTGACGTGGTGCCAGCTGTCTCGCCATGGAGCCAGAGAGACCTGGGCCAGGATGCCAGCTCCGCCAAGCCCTGACTGTGGGAACTTGGGCTGGTCACCTCACCTCACTGAGCCTCAGTTTCCCCATGTGGAAAGTGGAGGCCCTGATGTCTTCCCCCTGGAGTTGTAGTGAGAACAATGTGAGCGAAGGCTCTAGAGCTGCGGTCCTCAACCCCCGGCCGCAGACCAGGACCAGTCAGTGGCCTGTTAGGGCCACACAGCAGGAGGTGAGCAGCCGCCCAGCAAGCGAAGCTTCATCTGTATTTACAGCCACTCCCCATCGCTCACATCACTGCTTGAGCTCCGCCTCCTGTCAGATCAGCAGTGGCATTAGATTCTCACAGGAGTGAGAACCCTACCGCAAACTGCGCGTGCGAGGGATCTAGGTTGCCCCTCCTTAGGAGAAGCTAATGCCTGATGACCTGAGGTGGAGCTGAGGCGGTGATGCTAGCGCCGGGGAGCAGCTGCAAATGTAATTAATGTAATGCACTTGAATCATCCCCAAACCATCCCACACTCCCCTACCCCAGCCCTGGTCCATGGAAAAATTGTCTTCCATGAAACCGGTCCCTGGTGCAAAAAAGGTTGGGGATCGCTGCTCTAGAGCACCGTGCTTGGTGCCTGGCCCATCAGAGGTGCTCCTTGGAGGTAGCTGCGCCTAGCATCGGAATGCAGACACTCCTGGGGCCAGGCTGAGTGGGAAAACGCAGGTCTAGGGGCCCCCCAGCGGGCTGGGCTTCCTGGCACTCAGCATCCTCTCCTTGTCTTCCTGTGCTGGGCCGCTGCCTCTGCCCCGGCTGCCACCTTCTCCTCCTTCTGGCCCCTTCCCAGCAAAGACAGACATTGCTTTGGCACCCGGGCCCTGGACTCCTGGAGCAAGTTGTGCCTGGCCACTCTTCTGGACACCGATGTGTCCAACCCCATGGAATATGACTTCAACTTCCAGCTGGAGATCCGTGGGCCGTGTCTGCTCGCAGGTGAGAGGGAGCTGTCCAGACAGGTCCGGGGCCAAAGAAGCCCCAGGGCGGGGAGGGCTTCAGGCCAAAACTACCAGGAACGGAGAGAAAGGAGAGGCAGGGGACTGGCCCAGATGGAAGGCAAACTGAAGCACACAGAGCTTTACAGAGCCCGTTTCCCACTCTCCCAAAAGGAGGCCAGAAACGAGCCCCTCTCCGGGACGGATTTCAAGGCCATACACTGGGGAAATGTCCATGGGGAATGGCGGTCCCTGGTTCTCACCTCGTCTGCACATCAGAGGCACCCAGGAAGATTTCGAGCATCCTACAGCCTAGATCCCAACCCCAGGAGATGTTGGGGTGTTTGGATCCTGAGTGTGGAAACATTTAAAAGCTCCCCAGGTGCTTCTAATATGTGGCCAGAGTTGAGAACCATTGCTCCAAGGGTTCCCTCCCCAACCACTCAGGGTTTTAAAAGGACACTGGGATGAGGTTTCTTGTTGGCGAATGCTCTCCTAGAGCAACCTTGCGTTCCAGCGCAAGAGGCATTTGAGGAGCACCCGTCAAAAAAGTGCCCACTGATTGCATTAAGCTCTTCCTATCTGCTTGGCGACATGCTGGGTGATTTGTGTGCCCTGTGAGGGCAACTCCTCTGACCCCTACTGCATCCTGAGGTCACGGCAGGAAGGCACCATCAGACATCTTCCATCTAAGCCCACATTTTACAGATGGGGAAACTGAGGCGGCCTGTCCGTGGTCATACAGCGGGTTAGGTGCCCTGATGGGGCTGGCATGTCAGTGGTCTCCGGCCTCGGTCTCGGTATCCCCCACCGAACTCCTTTCTCCCCTGGGTCTCCTGAACCTGCCCCCCTTGCCTTTCCGTGCCACTCAGGGGTGGAGAGTCCCACCCACGAAATCCGTGCCGACGCGGCCCCATCTGCCTGCTCCGCCAAGAGCATCATCATCACCTTGGCCAACAAGCACACCTTCGACCGGCCCGTGGAGATCCTCATCCACCCCAGTGGTACGGCGCCCCACGAGGGCCCCTGGGCTGTGTGTGGGAGGGAGGAGGTGCTGATCCCATGGCAACAGAACATGTCCCACCCCACCCCACCCAGCAGCTAGCCAGGGCAAGGGGAGGGGGTGCACTTTGGAGAGGGGAGATCAACTACCCACCTCCTGGGAAACTTGGTTTTTGCTGCTGGAATCAGTGTCTCCTGCTCTGAGCTCCAGAGGCCCAGCGTCTCTTCCACCCTTCGGGGCACTTTGCCCCCAGGCCGGCTAAGCAGAGGATCTTTGAAACCCTAAGCTCAGCGAGCGCCTGGCAGCGCTGTACCCTCAAAGAGGCAACTCTTTTATAACTTCAAGAATTCACAGAACATTGGGACCTGAAAAGATCAGAGAGCCATTTAGCCCCATCTCACTCCCATTTTACAGATGGGTAAACTGAGGCCCAGAAAGAGGCAGTGAGTCACCCATGAATCCCCACACTGCTTCAGGCAGCCAGAGCTTCCACTTCCTTCTCCGGGCGGGGGGGCCGGGGGGAGGTCCCACGTCTGTGAAGATCTTGCCTCCAAACCAGGGCCCCTGACATCCCCCTCACACCCGGACAAGTGCTGAGGGTCGACCTCATCTCCGCAGAGCCCCACATGCCACACGTCCTGATGGAGAAAGGGGACATGACCCTGGGAGAGTTTGAGCGGCACTTGAGGGGAAGAATGGATTTCATTAAAGGGATGAAGAAGGACAGCAGTGCAGAGCGGAAGGTGAGGGCGACTCAAGTGGGCAGGTGATGGCGGCGTTGCCGGGGCGGCTCCGAAACCTGGTCTCCACTGAACCCGTGGGGAGACTGAGCCTGCGACGGGGAGGCCACCTGCCCAAGGTCACACAGCAAGATGGTGGCAGAGCCCAGGCAAGAAGTGTGTTCTTCGTTGGGCTGGGACACGGCAGGGCACTTCCAGATGCCCAGTCACCCTGGCTCTTTCTCCCGCCTCCTGCTGGGGCACCTTCTCCTGGCAGCTCCAAGGGGCCTAAGCCAGGCAAAATTTGCAGCTGGTGGTAGCAACGGCCTTGACCTCCCTCCTCCAGACTACCACACCTCCCAGGGGCACCCAGGACTCTTCATCAGAGTGTCTTCCCAGCTCCCCCTCTCCCTCCTGGTCCTCCCTCCTCCCACCTGCCGAACAGCCCCTTGCTCTTCCTGCCTCTGGGGTCCTTGCTTGCTAAGACATGAGGACAAGGGCAGAGTGGGGAAAGCCTGAGAAAGATCCCTTCCCTCTGCCCTGCCCCCACCCATGAAGCTACAGGACAAGGAGGCCCTGGCAGGAGGTCGGGTGGGGAATGGCAGGAGGCTGAGTGACAGCCACAGGCTGCACCCAGTGCTCTCCCTCCCCCACATGGCCCTGCACACCGGGAGTCCTGAATGCCAAGACAGGTTTAAGAATGATGGCACACCTCTTTAAATTGGCCCCGTTTTAGATGAGAAAACTGAGGTTTAACGATAGCCAGGGGGCTGGGGGAAGGGGGAGATTGCTATCTCAGGAGTTAGAGTGGGTGACAAGGAGGCTAAGGAATGAGGTTGATCATGTGGGGTCAGTTAAGCTGGATTTCACAGCCCTCCCCATTCTCTGCTGGCCTAGCTGGCCCAGGGCATGGCAAGGGGGAAGCAGAGAGCAGTGCATGCAGCCAGCTTGCTGCCTGTTTTGTTTCCATGGTTAGAGACCCCACTGGAAGCACCTCGTGCAGCAGGCAGGAGGGACGGCAAAGGGAAAGCGCAGGTGGCTCAGTGCCCATCACGGCCTCCCCATGTTAGAGACACCACTGAAATCACTTGCCCTCCTAGAGGTGCCCCTCACCCAGATGAGTCAGCTGGGAGAAGCAGCTGGAGCCAGGGTCTCAAAGTGGGGGGTGGCAATGCCGGGGGTCCCGCCGAGCTCTGAGACTTGCAGCATGTGGGCAAGGGGGTGCCCAGTGGGCCGTCCAGGCCTGGGGCTGGCTGGCCTGCCTGCCAAGCCTTAAATCAATTAGCTCTGGGACTGCAGAAGCAAATGGGAATTAATTTGCCACCTTGGGTCGGTTATGCAAATAGCCCGCATTCTCATGAGCTCCAGGGATGACAGCGATCAACACGCAGCTGCTAAGAAGTGATGAGTTTATTGTAATTGAATAACAGCAGCTTGAGGACACATCAGCGCATTCTGAGCCAGGCCACCCACCCCATCCTTCTGAGAGACAGAATAAGGTTCCTGGAGGTGGCTCCACTCACTGGCAGATGTGACCGTTGCTGCCTTGGGCTCTGTCGTCAAAAGAGCCAGGCCAGAGGGAGAGCAAGGTCCCTTGGCAGGGAGGAAGGTGGGTTGGGGGCAGCCAGAGGGTGGACATCAATCAGGATGGGCAGGTGGGACGTGCTGTCAAGAACTGAGATTTAGCAAAGAGGGGACATTACAGAGAGGGACACACCATATAGAAGAGGAAGAGATGCAGACAGAAACAGAGACTGGGGGAAAAACCCAAGAAGAGGCACACGCAGGTCAGCGGCAGACAGCAAGGCCCCCACAGATTCATTCTCTCATTAACCGTT